GGGGGAGCCTCGTGGTGGAGACGGTGACAGCGAGGGCGAGGCGCAGCTTTGCGTGGGGTGAAGAGGCGGAGGCTGAGCGCTTCGCGGAGCGGCGGAGGCCAATGCGAGAAATCGACGAGGGGGCGCCAGTGAATGTTAGTTGTCTCTTGGGATTGACGGAGCGAAAGAAATTATGGGTGCGTAGACGGATGAATTGACCGGGTCGTCAGTCAATGGTTCGACAGTACTTAAGTACTTGGGTAGGGCGACAGGCCTTTCTCGATAAGCATTTTATAGTCCAGTTCTAATCGATAGTTTTCTTCGAACTGTTTCTGGTGGACCGATTTCTGTTTTTGTATTTGTCATTCGTATTGGTTGTTCATAAGATGTTTACAAGACCCCAGTGAATAAATATATACAGCCACGTCGATTTTTGGTATGACTTACCATACCAAGAAAGTTGGAAATTAGTAGATACCAAACCTTTGAGTGTGCTGGGACCGAAAGATATCGACATGTGGGTGACATATTGTTGGCATTGTATAAACAATTCAACTTGACGTGACTTGTCCTTACTGACGTTTTAAAATATTGGTGTTTGACATTATACAAATAATTTAGGGTATAGTTGCCATTATTTAAATAATTTATTTCGATGTCATTACTTACTTTTTTAATTAATTAGTAGCGTTCAATGACTGGTCCGTCGTCGGCCGAGTAATAATTGATTTTGCCTACCTTCAGAGAGACTCGAAAACATTTCCTGGCAATGTATGAAAGCGTAGAGAGAAGCTACATCTAACACGCCGTATCGTACACTTGATATTTGGTGCGTATATGATATTACAATCAAAATTGAATGTGATGTGTATTTGTTGAGATGAGTAGTGCAGTGTCGAAATCGGGTAATAAAAACACGTGTGTACAAACCCGAATGGAAAGTTAAGCAATAATACAAATAACAAATACTTATAAATAAACAATTTTGTAAAACGATTTTATATCTATAATTAATTTTATATTTAAATTATATTTATTTGTTTATATGTATATTTAAATAGTATATACAATAAATACATTAAACATTTTACAAGCAACGCAAAAACTATAGAGGATTGATTACCAAACTTGAAGTACGTGCTAACAAGAATTAAAACTAATCTAAAATGTTTTATTATTAAGGGTGTAAATATATTTTCTATCTGTCGTCAGATCTTCCGCCAGATCTTGATTGACGTTTGTAGTTCACTTCTTTTCCCTTCCACATCTTAGATGTAAAGATGATAACTTAGCCTTGACAAACACAATATCAATTAAAGAAAAGTTTAGCAAATATCACACGGACTTGAATGTTACAAGATACAGGAGCCGCCAGAAAATATTATTTGCGACCACAGCCAGAGGGTACCTTGAGCGCCGCACTGTGTTCTCAGCGTTTCCATTGAAGATGCCGCCCGTCAAAGTACATGATCTCTGCTATGAACGTGATAGCTACGCCTTTCTCTCCCCCCTTTCATTCCCCCTCCCTCCCCTGCCTTCTGGTCTTCCCCCTCCTCCTCCACCGCCGTTTGTGCTCTTTAAACCTCCGTCTGCGGTGACTCCGCCCTGATTTGACATATCGTCCACTCGTCCCTATTGCAGTGTTCCCGCAGCTCTCCTTAGCTCATCGTTTCCCCCTGATCCTCCACCTCTTCCTTCCCTGCGACGCTGCTCCCCTCGCGGTGTTTGATCTCGTCATCATCGAGCTGTAGCCCTCTTGGCGTTCTTATCCCCCATCTCATCCGATAATGTCGTTTCGTTCTTCCTCGAGAGTACGCGGGCGGAGGCCTACTTCAGTCATGTAAGGCTGCTTCTTGAATCTCACCAACCTTTCTCCCTCGTAATATCTGAAAGCGCCTCATACTCTCAATGGATTATTTAATAATGTCTTAGAGTGATGACTTCAAAGGCTGACTTCCGCCTAGGCGAACTGGGCGGCTGCCTTGGGACATCACCTAAGGGGTCCTAGATCAGTGATGTCAAGGTCGATGCCATGTGGCACGGGTAACACGACCAAAGCATCCGTCCACGCGGTTGACCACCGCGCCAGCAGGGGGCAGTAGGTAATCAAAGTCACCCTGAACGCTTTACACATGAAATACGATTAGGCGGGATTTAGATAAATAAATTTAAGAGCGTTGGTAATGTCGATTACACATTGGTATTTTCAGGATCTAGAGATCCCGAGGGACAAATCCGTAAACTTCTTCTCCAATTTTCAATACTTAGTCGAACTCTGTAATTTCTCACGATTTGATGACCACACAATCTTTCAATTATTTACCGCACTGTTAAATGATATCTATTTACCAGTTCAGATATAATTTGTTGGGACTTGCATTTCATTTGTAATTTTGCAATTATTGTTCTTGTAGTCTTACTATTTCTGTACTGCTGTTTCTAACATGATTAATACCCTGATGATTTTTAGCTCCCACTATGTACTGATATCTTTTTTACGGAGAATTGACAATTATGTGCTCCATATTACTGCTTAATGCTGATTTACATTATACTGCATAACAAAAACTCAGAATTTGAAATTATATTAAAATAATATTCAATATCTTTTCATAAATTAAATTACGTATTTTGTCCAATTTTCCGATGTTAGTCACAAATAGTTTACAATTAGGATCGTTCTCTATTGTAGCTGTTAATAGAGAATGTAGCTTTTATCAATTTATCTTTTCTTTTTTTTATTTATTTATTGTTTCTTTTTCTCTTTTCTTTTCCGATTCAAGAAAACAAAGGGAAATATGATTGACTATATTTTTTCTTTGAAACGATTTGCTCATTCCTAGATAATTGGCTTTATGTCGATACATTACTTGTTGCTCCTCTTGCCTCTCAGCTATTGATCACTTATGACAACTACTCCGGGTATTTGAGAGTTGCTTGTTATGGCATGGTTGGAACTGCACGCATGCAGTTGCGTGCTCATTATTTGCACAATCAGACATCAATGGAGCATTCTGCGCCTGTCTAATTCACACGTAAATATTTATGTGCTAGTGCTTGGTAACGTGCATAGCGAAGCCCATGTTTTCGGAAACGGGTAGGTAAATTCTTGGTACACCAATAATGCCATTTCCGTTTAAATATTGGTTAACGTCTGTAACTTTTCTGGTCATTCGTCTTCTGAATTATTCTTTGCAACTTGTCTCTAATGGATATTGTCACAGATTTTGCACAATTTAACTAAATATAAATTGTAAATTGAAAATAACACGTAGTCCGAAAAATATGTTTTTGGGGATGGCGTTTTTTTGTTTTCTATGCAACACCAATGTACTCGTTAAAAATGCGCTTGTGTGACGTCTTGTTCTGTTCCTTCAGTAAAATTTTATAGAATTATTTTGATTGTAATAATCAGAATGATGTACACAATTTAAAATGCTTGTGACTCAAATCCGAAGTACAAATACAAATTGTATTAAAAGAACACAACAATGATATTATTTCCCTAATTGGTAAATCCATATTGCGAATAAAATAATTTTTCCTCGTTTTCATACATCTATGCGGCTTTGCCTATTTTTAAATATTTTAATTTTAATTTTTGCTTAAGCTATGTAATATCGTCTGTGTATTTATTTCTATGCCTGCAAACAGTATGACTTCTTTATTAATATTTTAATATTTTAGGAGAAGAGACACAAAGTATATGTTAATTGTTCAGAAGCAAAATCAAAAACCATCGCAGCATTTGCTCTGAGTGTTCGATATTGGTGCAGTGGTATTGGCATTTGAATTGTCGCAATAAATATTTTCTCCTTTATGAACGTATTATTTACTTAAAAGATGAGAAGTCTTTGAAGTCTCAGCAATATTCATTCAAATTAATTCAAGTAATAAGTCTTTGATGAAGCATCACATGTTGTATAATATTCTACGTTAATACCTTTTATTTTATTATTAATCACTCTTTTCATATTTATAACAGCTCCGATAATTATGCCTAAACCATCGAAAGCTAATCACCTTGTACTTAATACGTTTCTATTTGAAAACAGGAATAATTATTTTTACTATTTGCTCTGATAGGCAGCACCAGAATACGCGCGGAAAGTCCCGAACAAGTTCGAGATAATTAGCCTAAAGTTACAATAATTAAATGAATTATAATATTGATATTTATACGGTGTCATTAAAATTAATGTTGTTGATTTAAGTACATTTTTAATGTGAATGGAATTTACTTCCAAATAAAATATTTAAGTGTTTTTAAATTTATTATATTTCATATTTTAGGCGTAGACTAAAAAAGGTGATATTGAGATGTATTTACATAAAAAAGTACGTCAAAGGTACTTGTAAGGCAAGTATTTTTGTCAAAGTGTAGTTTTGTAGTTACATTAACTTGAATGAATATTGGAGTCTGCAATAGCTCATCTTATTTCGAGATTATTTTCCTGAAGTACGTCACGTTATTAATGTGTTATTGTTTAGATATATTATTATAAATTCTTTCGAATTGTGAAACCCAACATGGTCTAGGAAATTGTGAAAGCTGAGCATGTTGATCTTCTTTATAGTATTTAGTAGAGCGTTTTACATGCTGTAGTGTTAATTCGAGGTACTGTAAACTCTGTAGCTGTATAATCATAAATCCTTGACTTGTATCTTTTGAGAGACAACAAACTAGTTAATCAATGTCATTACCACTAATATAATAGGTTAGATCTTGTTCCTCCTCAGGTTCCCCTCGTTTTCACCAGAGGCTTCCACCAGCCTGTCGCTCGACTCATCGCGGCTGAAGGTCCTCTTGTAGCATCCTTCGCTCGAAGCTCTGTGGTTACTTCATCGACAATTCCCTCCCCAGCCCTCACACCGCCACTTCAGCCCCCCTCTACCTCCCCCTTCAAACGCCAACTCTTTCCCTCCATCGACGCCGTGTTCGCCTCTGCCACCCCTCCGCTGCCCACCGCCACCCTCGCTTCCCCCGCCCCCTCCGCTGCTTCTCGCTTTCGTGTCGCACCTTTGCCAACCCTGTTAACGCGTTACGCTTGCATCCGCTCTCCACCCCGCTCCCTCCTCACCCCGCACCCCCCTCCCCGGCCCGCCTCCGGCCATGCGCTTCGCGAGAATATTGACCAATCGGAAGGGCGCTGTCGGCGCGTGTTAGTGTTGGGAATCCGTTCCGTCCTTGACACGCGCCCGCCGCCGCCTCCAACGCCCCGCTCCGTCCCGCTTCGTCCGCGCCTCCCGCCGTGCCTTTCCCCGCACGCCCCACCATGCCGCGCCGCGCCACGCCACGCCGAGCCCGCGCCGGTGCCGTTCTCCTCCGCCGCCTCCTCTTTTTTAGAGATCGACTAGCGGAAGGGGCCGAAGGACAGACAGAATTTGCGGAGCGGATGGCCGGCCAAGCGAGCTCGCCTAGCACCGCCGCCGCTCGCCTCGCGCTCTAGCCGCCGCTGCGCCGCCGGCCTCGGGCCACGGACTCCCGCCTCTGTGCTGCTTCCGCCTCCGCAAGCGACATTCGTCACCGACATCACCTCCGCCCGCTCCGCGCACGCTGCGTCACGCGTCTGCTTTCACTACTGCCCCACCCCTGCTTCCGCCTCCGCTTCCAACATCGCCTCTTGCTCATCATTTCATCTCGCCGCCACTGCTTCCAACCTGCACTGGCGCCTCTGCATTGCCTCCACGTCCATCAGTATCACTTCGTCCGCTTCTCCAGAGACTCCAACGATATTGCCTCCGCCTCAAATACATCCATCGCCTTCGCTACAACCGCTATTGCCTGTGCCTTCGTCAGGACCACTTGCTTCACACTGCATCCGCCGCGGCCTCGCCTCCCGCCCCTCTCCGCCCCGCCCGCGCTCCGACTCTGCCCCCGTTGCCGTTCCCGCCTCGCGGCTCCCTCCCGGCCCCGCTCCATCCGCGTTTCCTCTCCAGCCCCCTCCCATCCTTGTTCTAGCCCCCGCCTCCCGCCCCTCTCCCGCCCCCGCCCGCGCTCCCGCTCCGCCTCGCTGCCATTCCCGCTCCGCGCTTCCTCCCGGCCCGTCCAGTCCCGTTTCCTCTCCAGCCCCTCCCATCCCTTGTTCTAGCCCCCGCCTCCGCCCCCTCTCCCGCCCGCCCGCGCTTTCGCCTCGCCACCGCTGCCGTTCCCCGCTCGCGCTCTCCTCCCGGCCCAGCTCAGTCTGCGCTCCGTTTTCCTCTCCGCCTTTCCACCCATATACTCCCCCGGCCTTCCACCGTCCGCCCCCGCTCAGCCTCATCTATTGCCCCTTCGCCCGTGCCTCCCCACCGCGATCACCACCACCTCTACCTCCATCTCCGCCTGAGCGTCTGCCTCCGCTACCACCTTCACCCCTGCTCCGCCCACGCCACTCCCACCGACGGTCGGGCGTGTACACGCCTTCGATCTATCTCTGCGTAACCCCTCTCGCGCCCCGAATCTCCGGCCGCTTTTTCCTTTCTTTTAAAAAGTCGTCGTTAATGATGACATAAACGTTGCCACACAACGAGATTTTTTTGTCGAGAAAAAAAAGTCTGTTAATTATGGCCTCCAGATTAATCCCATCGCTCGGTTGTCTGGAAGTGCGTCATAAAGGACGGTCACGGTTGCTGTTAATTAGAACCTCGTTTTTGAGCGCGGACGAGGAAATCTATTACTGTCTGGACGTACTGTGCGTATGTGGATGAGCGTTCCAGCTATTAATCTGGATTTCTGAAAAGGAAAATGCCTTTCTGGTGCGAGATAAAGCAAAGCCGGTGGAGTTGGTTAGTTCCTACTTTTTCCGTTTGTTCGAATTCTGCTCTCTATTTCACTGTCTGAGTCGAAATACAAAGAAAAACGGGAGCAAAATCTACGTTTTCGAACATTCGGTATACGTGGCAATTAATAAAAGGATTCAGTGAATAACTGTTGTTAGATGAACATTTTTCTATAAATGATGCATTGCATGGATGTAAAAACGTCTGTTACGGCCACACACGTAATAAAGCCCTACGATGGGGTAAAAAGCCGTTCTCTAACGAGAGAAAACAGTAAGAGTGGAAGTGGTTTCCATTCCTTTAGTTTGTTCGTTCCCTTTATTTTGTCTGCCCTTTTTTGAAAGTACTACACGAAATACAGAGCTTACAATTATAACGTCGAACATACAAAGTAAGCAGCAATTCAGAAGAAAATTCGCTGATGAAATGGCTTTAGGTAAACATTTTCCGATTCTTGATTTGGTGCAGTATCGTTAGGTGCAGAGGAGAAACCATGAAATAATCTTACATTGATAAATATCATGAAAAAAAATGTCATAAAATAAAACATGTATATTTTTTTAAATAATAAAAGTGTAGGCGACCCGTAAAGTCAAGGTTTTTAAGACGGGAACCCTTTAACTTTATCGGCTTGAAGGGTTGTATTACGCCTTGGTCATGAATGTTTTCTTGTGAGCATGGTGGTGATCTCCCAGTGACCATGTATCACGTTTGAACCCTCGTCCTACAATTCCCCTCATTCTACCACCGGAATAATAAAGACGTTCGTTGTTTTGGGCCTATGGGCCTCAACGGAAAGTCGCAATGACGGATCTGCCTTCCCTACCTCTGACAGGGTAAACATACGGAGATTCCCAAGGATTACCTTGCAAAATATGGCAAGTGGCTGTCCGAGAACAGCCCAAGTCCTCCTTCGGAAATGGAAGTCGGAAGACGGGTGTATGGATTCATGCCGTAGGAGATTCTCCGCCGAGCGCTCTAGTAATGTTTTTTCGGTGCCAAAGGGTGAATCCATCCCGTGAGAAGTAAAGAAATTGTGATGTGTTAAGAAAGAATAAGAAGAAGAAAAGAATGTAGAAAGAAAGAAGTAAAGAAATGGTTTAAGTGTTGTGAATGATGACCGGGATAGAATTAGAATTACTCTGATGATGTGAGTATAATCAGCATGGTGCTACAACGAGATGGACAACGGGCGAAATCTGAAAGCTGGTGCTTGCTTCGGCTTTTAGGCAAGAAGATTGAATGGAATTCAAATCAGGAAAAGGTGATAATATTGTAAAAAATGTTTTGCCTTCGCGGATCCGTTGGTGTGGAGCCCGTGAGAACCAGTCTGGC